GCTAAAACTTAGGGAAGCGTGTATTCGTGAAACACTTTGGAATCTCGCTGTTAGGGAGGCACCACTGCTCTGCCTGAGACAAAGGCGCGAGTTTGTAAACAAGGAGAGGGCGGCCCAGAGAGAGTGCGCCCAAGGGGAAGGGCATGGTCAGGACCCCGGGTGGTGCCCGCCCGGGCTGGGTGGGGGTGGCCCTCCCGCCTTGGGGACCTGGGCCCTGTCCCGCCCTTCGCTCTTCTGCAAATGAACTGGATGCTCTCGCCAAGCCTAGACAGCAGCAGCCTGTCCCCAGGGTGTGCCCACCGGCCCGACAATGTCCCCACCGCACACTGACCACAGATGAGGCCGCCCCCCCGCCCGTCCGGAGGAGGCAGCTGCGGGCCCTTGTGTTCATCTCGCGGAGAGCGGCTGGGAAGATGCCAATTAGGGCTGATCCCGGAGGCGGGTCCATGATGGGAGCCTACGGGCCAGATGGGGCCAGGGCAGGGTGCTAATTAGGGAGTCCGAGCAGGGCCAGGGCCCTCGGAGGGGTCCCCTGCTTCCCAAGTCCCCCTGCTCCCAAACAACAGACGCACCCAGGCACGAAGTCGGCTCTGGCCGCGTGCGGCCCCACCCCGGGTGCAGGCAGACAGGGCGTGGAGGGCGCAGGAAGTCCGCCTCCCCGGTGGACCTCAGGGCCGGGGCTCCCCGCTGAGGCCGGTGCCGGCAGAAACGGGAGCCGCACTACCGTGGCTGAGCTGTGCCCCCCGCCTCCGTGCGCTGAAGTGCCCAGGCCCCCAGAGTGCGGCTGGGTTTGGAACCAGGGCCTTTCCAGAGGGAACGAAGGCAGAACTTGCCACTGTGTCAGCGCCCTTGTCAGAAGAGATGAGGACACAGGCACACACAGAGCGACCACGCGTAGACACAGGGCGAAGGGGCCGGCGGTCAGAGCTGGGGGGACGCTGCGGGGAGAGCCGGCCTGCCGGCCCCTTGACCTGGGGCTCCCGGCCCCTCGCCCGGGAGACAACCTGCTTCGGTGGTTCAAGCTGCCTGGGCACCCGCACTTCATCCCCACAGCCCTGGAAGTGGAGGCACCTGTGTCGGACCCCTCGCGAGGGCACGGGCTGGTCGTAAAGCTGCTGGATTCTCCTTCGAAGTGCTCCTGGGGGCTAAACAGAAGGGGGACCCAAAACTATGCCATGGCTCCGCTGGGTGCGGCGGGCGCTGGGTGGGGGCAGCCTGCAGGCTGGCCCGTGGGGACCCAGCCCCCAGGCCCCCGTCCCTGGCGTGGCTGCCAAGGCCCTCCAAGCCGGACGGCGTGTCGAGCCTGGCAGGTCCGCAGGCCGGCTGTCCACGCCGATGCGTTCGTGGCTTCGTTGGACAGGTCGTAGTCCACGCCCCGCGTTCCCGGCTCGTTCTCCGCCCCCAGAGCGGATGCTCTCCTGCTTCATTCCTGAAGCAGCCCCGGGGTAAAGGCAGGACGCTGCCTGGGAGCGGCAGGGAGTCCGCTTCTGTGAATCCCTCCGCGCAATGACGGTGAGCCAGGCAGGGACGGCCCCAAGCGGCCGTGGACTCTGGAGGGGGCGCCGAGCTGGTGTCCCCGCCACCGGGCCCTTCATGCCCGCGGCCCCTGCCGCCAGCGGGTCCCCCCTGGGACTGTTCTCCCCAGGCGAACAGCCCCTGGTCTCCCACCAGCCCACCCTAGGCCGGCCCAGACCCCCGCCCCAGCGCCCACCCAGGTCGGGGCGCCCGAGCCCCGCCCGTGTCCCTGTGGGCGCCTCCCGGCCACGCTCTGTGGGCCGAGCACCCGGCTCGCTTCTGTGGCAGGAAGGGGACTGGGACTGGGGAGGACCCCAAGGACCCCACAAGAGTCAGCACAGCTGCTGCAGGGGCTGGGGTCCCCGAGCCCCTCACCAGGATGGGGAGACAAGGAGGAGAGCCACTGGCAGGCAGCGTCCAGCGGCAGGGCGAGCCTCCTACCCGCGTTGCCGGGTGGGGCTCCGTGCGGGCAGCTGTCGCAAAGCCGGGGGTGGGGTGGAGGCTCGGGGACAGCGTTGCGGTGGGGACGTCTGTCCTGCCTCTGACCTCAGGGGGCCGCACCCAGCTTCTAGCCCCTACCGACAGGACATTACAGGCCAGGCTCCAGGGCAGCCGGTCAGGAACAGCAGCAGCTACTGGGGCTGCGACCCCACGTGACTCCCTCATGGCCTCTGGCCACAGCGGGGCCGGCAGCTGGACTCTGAGGGGGACCTGCCAGGAAGCTCGGCTCTGGAAGGTCAGGGGGCCCCAGCCTCCACGCCAGCTCCTTTGGAAGCTGGGGGTGTCTTCTGAATTCCAAAGGCTGAGGGGGTGAGCTTGCCTTTAATTAAAATGCACGTCCTTTAATTAAAAGCCCCATCACACACGAAGGACATCCACTGAAATACGACGTGTGACACCCTCATTTTCCTGCTGTTAATTACTAATTAATGAAGCTATTTCAATTAATAGCTTCCTCTCCCCCCCATGGCCCACACGGGGAAGGTCCGTCCCCCCCCCCCCCCCCCGCCGCCGCCGCTGCACTGAATATTCATGTTGCCACCTCCAGCTCCTCTATTAACGTGAGAAAGTGTGTCCCAGTCGGAAACGTCCCCAAAGCACAGCCCGTGTCCGGCTCCCTTGCCGGCAGCCAGCCCAGGCAGAGGGGCTCTGCGGCAGACTGCGGGGAGGGACCGTGGCCACGGTCCCCAGAGGCGCCCTGGCCAAGGGCACCTGCACCCCTAGGTGGCTTCCCTGTGTCCCACCAGCTCTGAGGGGCAGTGGCCCGAGGGCACAGATAAGCAGGAGGCCCCAGGGGGCAGGTGGGGACCCCCAGGGCTCTGCGGTCCCACAGCTGAAGGACAAAGCCAGAAATGGGGGGCAGGGAAGACAGCCCGGAGAGTGGAGGGGCCATTAACATGCTAATTACGAGTAATAGGTGGTCATTAAAGATCCTGCATTAAAGGAAGGATAGAAAAGTGTCGCTTATGGCCACAGGGAGGGGACAACCCTGCCTGTGAGCAGGAGCCTGGGGGAGGGCACCCAGGGAGGGCTGGGGGCTGGGGGGCTGGGGACAGGGCCTGGGGGAGGCTGGACAGGGCACAGCGCTGCACCGCCGGACACTGACCAGGAGCCGCCCTGAGCCCGGCCACCCTTTTCTGGTTGCCTACCTGCCCCCGGGAGGGGAAAGCCCCACCACCAGGACCCCCTGGGGAGGGGACAGAGGGAACGGCCCCAGGTCCCCCCCCCCGTGTCCCTGTCCTCACCGTGGGCGCCCAGCCTCGAGCCCTCCCCCCCACTGGCACGCCTCCCACCCGCCCCCTCCCTCCGGGGCTGCGGGGCTCCAGCACCCGGACACAGGCAGCTCCCGCGGTCCTGGAAGGAGTCTGGGGCCGGGGGGCGGGGCAGGAGTGGGCGGAGCCCCCTCGGCCAGCTGCGGCGTGACAGCAGCCTCGCCCTCCTGAGGGGCCTCCTGGCTGTGGGCCCCGCGGGTGCACGTGGGGCACACCCACCCGCCGCCCGGGGCGCCGAGCCCCTCCCTCAGGAGCGGAGGGACAGGCGCGGTTCGGGTCTGGTGTTGGCACCCTGCCGCCCCGTGTGCTGCCGCCGCTGGCCGTTGGGGTGTGTGGGCTGCGGGGGAGGTGGGGGCGTGCCCGAGCCTGACCGCGCCAGATAAAACGGGGCGGGCGGGCGGCCGGGCCAGCGCGCCCATCGCCCGTGGGAACACCCGGCACCTGCGCCCTCGCTGCCGGCAAACAGGCCCCAGGTGCCACGGAGCCCTGTCCTGGGGCTCCGCATCGGCCTGGGGAGGGGTCGGGAGTCCGCGCCCAATCCAGGGTGGCCTTCCGGACCCACTGCTGTCTGGGCCCCGCGCCCCCAAACCCCACCGACGCGGGGGCCAGGGCCAGAGTGTCCGCACACGTGCCTTCGCTCCCCCTTCTGCACAGAGCCCACGCCCCCCTCTGGGCCTCTGGGTTCCTGCGGGGCAGGGAAGGGGTGCCTCTGTCAAAGGGCTAACAGTGTGCCGTGGGTTAAACACTAAGGGGTGGCACGCACCCCCCGCTCACGGAGGCGTCACTCACAGCAGCCGGGAGCCGGGGGCGGCCGCCGCGTCCTCGCGGGGAAGGGTAAGCGCTCCGCGTGGCGGGCTGCCCTCAGCGTCCCAAAGGAGGGACACGCGGACCCCGGCTACAGCAGAGGCGGGCCCGGGGGACGTTAGCTCGTCACGAACACCCGTCACGGAAGGACACACGCCATGGGACTCCACTTAAACAAGGTGCTCGGAGTCTGTCGTCAGAATCGGAGAGCAGAACAGCGGGTGCCCGTGCCCGGGGGGCAGCGAGTGTTTTCTGGGGACAGAGCGTCCGGACGTCTGGGAAGACGGGACGCCCTAGAGAAGGGAGGTGGCAGCGGCCGCACTCCCGCCGCTGAGCCGCACACGTCCACACGGTCACGGGGATGGCCCGCCCGCGCGTGTCCTGGGCGGCGTCCCAGGCCGGGCTCCCAGCTCGGGGCAGCAGGTCGCAGGCGGCCACCACCCGAGGCCGCTTGCGACAGCCCGGCCGGCCGAGCAGCCGAGGGCCCCAGCGGGAACCGGACGGCCTTCCCGCCCCTCTGCGCACAGGCCACTGCGCTCTGTGATCAAGAACCTTCTTTCAGATTATTTTTCCTCCAAAGAGGGGCGGCCGTGGGGAAAGTCTGCGCCTCCATGGGAGGGACAAGCTGTCCCTGTCTGGGTTGCGTGAGCGGCAGGCGGGCCCTGCGGGGAGCTGGTAGCGGTGCCCCTCCCGCCCCGATCCGAAGCCCAGTGTCCACGCCCGTCCCGTGTGCCCAGAGGGGGGAGTGCAGCGCCACGTCCCCGTGCAGTGTGCCGGCAGCCACTCTGTCTGTTCCTGGAGCTGTCCCCGGACCTGTTTGTAACACTTGGCTGGGTCCCTGGTGAACGAATTCAATAAACTTTAACAAGTACGTATTCTTTAAAACTGTGTTAGTGAAGTAACAGTCTTCTTTTAAATAGTTTAATAGTCACCATTTAAATAAGGCTTTGCTGTGGTTTTCCACATTTTTGTGCCGCTTTTCTCCCCGCGGACGCGTGGCAACACGCCCGACAGAGTCAGGGGCGGGGGGCTCCTCTGTATAAACAGGGGAGGCGGGGTCGTCTGGCTCCAGGGAACGTTGAGGGCGGGGCGGTGCCCAGGAGCCAAGGACGCAGAGCTGAGTGCCAGTGTCCAGGGATCCACAGGAGGGGGGCGTAGGGGGTGGGGATCCCCAAGGGTGGCAGCTGCTCTGGGGACACTTGGCGATACCAGGAGACAGAGTAACCGCTGAACACCCCCCTCCCCATGCACAGCACGGCCCCCCCGAGAGACCGATCCACCTCAAGGCCCAGAAGGAAAGCAGAGTGGGTTTAGGGGAGACTGTGCGTCCGGGCAGGCTGGAGGCAGGGGCGCGTCTGGCCCCGCCTGGAGGCCGTCTCCGGAAGGGAGCGCTGACTCCACCCGCCGGGGGACAGTCCCACTGAGGCCAAGCGCGGGGCGCGGCGCCCCACTGGCGGAGGGGACACTGAGGCCCAGCCAAGGCCAGGCGCCGGCGCCACCTCCCGCTCGGCCGGGCTCCGTCTCCTCGGTCACACGTCTGGGGTCAAGAGCAAGAGGCCCTGACACAGGGCCCTTCACCCCGAGGCTGGTGGTGCTGGGTCTGCGTCGGGCCGGCGGGCGGGGCGGCTAGAGGTCCTCGCGGGCGGGGCCCAGGTCCACCCTCTGGGCCTGCCCGAACATCAGGAAGGGGCCCAGCCCCAGGCCGCCGGCAGCAGCCACCAGCTGGAACAGCGGCACCCAGGAGCCGGTGGTCTCGACCAGGTAGCCGCCCAGGCCCACGCCCACAACACCTGCAGCCGAGAGAGGGGACAGGCGGCTGAGGGACGGGCGGCCCCCAGGGCAGCCTGGGGAGGGGCGGGTTGGGGGAGCCGGCGCCGAGGCCAGCCTCTGTCCGGTCGCTGGAGCGCCCCCCGCCCCCGGCCGGCCAGGACGCCGCCCGCCGCTGCCGCGCCCTCCCGGGAACAGGGGCAGCAGCCGGAGGGGCCCAGCTGCGGGGTGAGCCCAGAACCGTCTCCCCGCCACCCGGGCCCGTGACCTCCGGGGACCCTGGGCCACGAGGACCTGACTCGCCCTTCGGGGGGCGGAGGCGAGCCCTACAGGAGTCAGCTCTGCCTCTCCCTGGACCAGCTCTGAGGTCTGCGTGTCCCGCACATGGATCTCATGCTGTTGGACCCCCCCCCACCCGGCAGAACCAGAGGGTGGCAGGAGGACACAGGGGGCGGCCGGGGGCACCCCGGCAGCTCGGGCAGGGGACCCGCTTGCCTCTCACCTGCCAAGGCCCCCGCTGTGTTGGCCACACCTGTGAACCGGGCAGGGCGAGGGAGGATCGGTCAGCAGAGCCCCCGGCCACCCTCCCGCGGCCTCCCACGCCCCTGCGGGCTCGGGGCTGGGGACGCGGCTGCGTGAGCAGCGCCCTGGCCGGGGCAGCCGCGCCCCGTTCACACCGGCCGGGTCCTCACCGAACAGAAGGCCAGCGCAGGACGGGGCCAGGTCCTGGATGTTAACGGAGATGCCGCTGTGGGGGGAGGAAAGGACAGGGGCAGGTGACCCCGGGGCAGCTGCCGCCCAGGACACCAACGTCGGTCCTCTGAGCGCCCGGAGCAGGAGGCCATCCAGGGGGCGCCCGGCCACACGCAGGCACCCCGCGCCCCCGACCCTGGCTCTCCCATCTTGAGGGTGACCCAGCGCGGGACCCGCGCCCTGGAGGACGCACGGGGAGGCAAGCTGGCACCAGCGCACACTCCTTTGCTGTCCACGAATTGTTTTTAAAAAAACCTTCAATGGCCAATTCTCAAAACGACACCCTGTGACGTTTTCCTGGTTAAATGGGGCTGAGGCTGGGCCCTGGGGGCGACGGGGACTCCAAGAACGCAAGAGAGCCCGCTGGCGCCTCGCGGCTCAGACCGGAGACGGAGACGCTGCCCCGCCATTGCGATCACGGCCTCCCCTCCGGGCCCCGCCCCCAGCCCAGCGTGTGTTTCTCCGAAAGGCCCAGGGCCACGCCAGCCGACACCCGGACAAACCTTTGCCTCTGCAGCTCCGCGAGGGGACCCGCCAGCCGCACGCCCCTGGGCGAGGAGGCTGCCTCCGAGCGCCCGGCCTCGGGGTGCGAAGGGGCGCAGGGGCAGGCGGGGCGGTTCGGGGGGCTGGGCGCACAGCCTCACCTGTGGTTGAAGGTCTGGAGGCCGATGGAGGCCGAAGCAAAGAACACGGACTTGCAAAAGCTCGAGGTGTGGCCCACACCCAGGGCACAGATGCTGGACAGGCCCAGGCCCATCACCTGCGGGGCGGACACCGGTGTCAGGCGAGGGCTGGGACGGCCAGCAGGGGTCGAGGGGCACATGGGGGACAGGCTCCGTGAGAAGCCGCCTCTGCTGGTGGAGCCGAAACACTCCATTAGATGGCAGCGACCCCAGAAATGGGCGCTGGGGCTCAGGTGGCCGCGGCGGGCCACGCACACAGCTCGGAGAAGGGCGGCCACGCCCCCGACTGCCCTGCTGCGCTGGCCGCCTTCTGGGTCGGGGACTTGGGGACACGGCCCTCGGGCCCCAGGAGCAAACAGGATGCCCTGAGAGAGCCGTCATGTGACCTCCCTACCTGCATGAACTTCCGCACGGTGATGGTTCTGTAACCTGGACAAAAGGAGAGGAGAGCGTGTTCCCCGCCGGCTGGCGGGCGCTGGCCGCCCGCCCGCCCCCGATGGTGCCCACAGTGGGGTCCCCGCGGGGCTGTCCGAGGTCCGCCCGCTCCCCCGGGGCCCGAGGCCGAGGCCGAGGTTGGGCAGTAAGGCCACAAACATGCACTCGGGTCCCAGGCTTGCCCCTGCCTGCGACCTCTGACCCCTCCAGGGGCCCTTTCCACGTCTGAAGAGGGCTGGGGACGGCCTCCAGCCCTTGGGAGGTAGCTCCCCTGTCCCGGGGACGGGGGTCCTCTCACTGCACCCCAAGCCCGCCCTGAATGGGGAAACGGAGGCCGGGGGCGTCGCCCACGGAGTGGCTCCTATGGCCCCCCCTCCCCCATGCGGGCTCTGAAGGGCCGGGTGTCGCTCTCCCAGCTTGGTCTTCCAGGGGCATGGCCCCTTCCCGCCGCTGTAGCTGCCCCCAGGAGGGGTGCCTCCCGCCCCCCAGGGCGAGGGGAGGCCCAGGCATGGCCCCGGCGCGTCCCCTCCACAGAGCTCACCCTGACGGATGAGATGGTCCGAGAGAAACCCGCTGAGCAGGCTGGCCGGGATCGCCACCAGCCAGGGCACCACGTTGAAGACCCAGCCCTGCAGGGAGCGAGGAGGGCGTCGCGGCGCCAGGCCGGCCACCAGGGCCCACCCCGCCCCCCGGGCAGGCCTCCTGAGCCCTCACGCCTCCGCCCAGCGCCGGCCCCCTGCCTTCCTGACCGGCACCAGAGCCCTGCGTGTTGGGGGACCCCTCAGGGCCCCTCGCTACAGGGGTCGGGACCTCCAGGGAGCGGCACCTGGGAGCTGGGGTAGGTGTCCTTGAAGAAGGCGGGCAGCCAGGACAGCAGGGTGAAGAAGGAGCAGGCCGAGGCGAGCTGGGAGAAGATGGCCGCCCTGCGGGGACAGGCGCCGCTCAGGGCCACGGTCCCCAGCACCCGGGCGACCGAGGCCGCGGGGGACCCCGGCGCTATGATCAGTCAGCACCGGGGACACGCACGGGCCCTGCCCCTGCCCCACGAGGGGGCCCCGTGCGGCCGGCTCACCAGACAGAAGGCTTCCGGAAGAGCTGTCTCCAGGGGACCCTGGTGCGCCTGGCCATCCGCAGGCCTTGAGCCGACATGTCCAAGGACAGGACGAGATCTGGGGGGAGCAAGGCGGGCCCGTGTGACAGCTGTTCGGAGCCAGGGGGCCGGGGCCGCGGGGAGGGTCCGGTGATCGGAGCCCGGCTCCCTTGGCCCAGCACCCCTCCCCCTCTCCGCTGCCTCTGGTGCCTTCAAGGACCTGCGTTTGTGTTGGGTTTGAACAAACTCTCTTGACGCTCCCCCTCCCGAGCCCCGAGGCCCCCAGCCCCCCTCCCACCTTTCAACTCACAGCGCCCCCCCCCCCCGCCTCTGCCTTGTCCCTGGCAGACCACTCAGCACCAAACGTGGCGGAAACCACAGCCCAGAGCCCAGCACGGGCTTGTTCCCCAGCCTGAGGCCGAGCTGCAGCCCCCGGCACCCGGGGCTGGGGCGGCTCTGTGACCTTCGTGGTCGGTGGCGGCCGGAGGGGTCCCAGCTCTAGGCTCTCGCCCCTCCCGGGCAGCGCATGTGCTGGCCGCGCCCACCCGGCCGCGGTTACCTTGTTCGCTCAGCAGGTACCTGTACACGTAACACACCCACAGAAGGGTGAGACCGCCGGAGACGTAGAAGACGCTCGGCCAGCCGTACCGGTCCAGGAGCAGGGAGCCCGCCGCCCCCGTCACCAGCGTCCTGGGACAACAGACGAGTGTGGCCTGACCCCCGGCCTCACTCCGGCAACGAGGCGCCTGGACAATCCCACCCAGGTGGCTAGAAGGCGGGGCGTCCCTGTCCCACGAACTGGTTCAAGTCCCAGCGCTCCGGGACAGGCTCCGGGTGCCACATGGCCACGGCGCACCCGGGCTCAGGCGCGTGGCCGAGACACGGCACAGGGGCCCTGCGTGGCATGAATGGCCTGCTCCCTGGCCTTCAGGGGGCCTGCCGTTGTGGGGGGGCCTTGCTGCAATAAACCCCAAATACCTCCCATGTCACCGGCCGGTCCATTTGGGGGCTGCTTTCCCCTTCCCCCATCTGCCAGGAGACATTAACAGAGGAAACACCTGGGCCCCGATCGAGGCCACAGGGCCCGGGGTGGCTTCCCCCTTTCCCTGACCCCGCCACGGGCCCAGGACACCTGGGGGGGATGGAATTCCAGGTGAGCCCGAATGTTCCCGGGCGGCCCACGCTGCTTCTCTGAAGGCCGCGCGGCACCGGGCAGCGTGGGTTCTAACTGGGTGCTCCCGCCCACCCACGGGCACCCCCCACACCCCTAATTCTTGCCTAGACCTTGGAGCAGTGACCTGCGGGCCCCGAGCTGGGGGTCCTGAAGGCTCTTTGGACGGAGAGGTGTCCTTCCACACGGGGCACCCGGGGCGGCCAGGCCAGGAAGGGCCCCGGGCTTCACGCCCAGAACGCGACCCGAGCACGGGCCGCCTCCCCCATCGGGACCCCCCCCGGCCCCTGCACCCCTGGGCCCACCCCCACAGAAGGAAGGGCGGTCGATGAAGCGGCCGCTGCCCCAGCCCCTGTCGCCTGCCACCGGCACCTTTGCAAATCACAGACCCAGCTGGGCCCACGCCGCCCTGAGCGGCAGGTGCGCCCGCGCGGCTGCCCCCACCTATGGGCTCCGCCAGGGCCGCCCGTGCGGCCTCCCCTGCGCCCCTGAGGCTGGCACTTACCCGACCTGGGAGCCGGCGCCCACGGTGCTGTAGGTGAAGGCCCGCTCGCCCTCCCGGACCTTCTGCGACAGCAGGCTGGTCAGCGCAGGGAAGTGGACCCCTGGGGCGGGCAGAGAGCGTGGGTCTGCGTGGCGCCAGGGCCCCGGGCCAGAGCGGCCGGCGGGGGCGGGCCGCCAGGGGCGAGCCGGCCGGGGGCTCCCGATCGGGGGTTACTCGGCCTGCGGCGTCCTCCACACCCACATCGCCCCAGGGACCAGCAGGGACACTCGGCCAAGGAGACACTCAGCGGAAGCCAGTGCCACCGCCGTCCCCTGGCTTCCGGCGCCGCACCAGCCCGGGAGTCCTGGCACACACGTGACGCATCCTCGTGGACACGCGCACATGCTGCCACAGACACACACACTGTCGCACACACATGCACACACTGCCACACGTGCACACACCGCCACACGTGCACACACCACAGCATGCACATGTGCTATCACACATATGCACACACTACCACACACCGCCACACGTGCACGTGTTGTAACATGTGCACAGGCGGACCGCACCGCACACGCTGCCACACACGCACACACCGCCACACATGCACATGCCACAGCGCACACACGTGCCATCACACATGTGCACGCACCATCACACACTGCCGCACGCGCACGCGCTGTCACACACGCCCACGGCGCAGGGACAGCCAGCGAGCCCTGGAGAGCCTGTGGGACCGTGGAGCGGGGTGCTGGGTGTCGCACTGCCCCGTGGCTGCTGACATGTCCCCACAGGGAGGCGGGAGGGAGCACAGAACTTCCCTGTGTGTTCCTTTGCAACTTCCTGTGACTCTATAATTATTTCAAAACCTAGTTTTAAAAAAACCTGCTTTGGGGACTTCCGCTCTTGCCTGCTGTGCTTTTCTCCAAACCACCCGGGGGAATAAGAGGCAGGGGACCGGGGCAGGACTCGGTCCCGGCCTTCCCCTCGGGGCCCTGGGCCTGGCCACGCAGAGTGCCGGCCCCCCAGGGCGACAGCCACTCCTGGAGCCCCGGCTGCCCCTCATAACGGGCCACAGGCCAGCGACACACAGAGGGCCTTGTGCCTCCCAGAAGGACGCGGAGAAGCAGCTTGAGCCCCACAGCCCGGCCCTGGGGCCTTCGTCTGCCGGGCCGCGAGCACCAGCCACGGCCACACGGGGACCACGGAGGGTGGGCCCACAGGAGCACAGAGGCCGGTCCGCCAGGACCGCCCATGGCCCGGACCAGTGGGGCTGGCCAGAAAACAGGCACAGGCCAATCCTGGGAGACCCGGGGACCCCAGGATCTGAAGGGGTCACCAGTGAGGGGTCCTTTCCAGAGCAGGCGGGGCAACGTGGCGTGGAAGGGCCAGGACCCACGCGCTCGGATCACGTCCGGGAGACGGAGGCTGTGAGGCTCCAGGCTGGGCAGGCGGGAGCTCGGGGCCCATCCGTTCCCTGGAGGGGGCTGTGCGCCACCTGCCGCCGGCTCTCCTGGGCTGCCGGGGCCTTTGAGGGGCTCTCCCCAGAAGTCTAGAGTCCCCGCCACGCCTGTCAGCCACGTGGTGCTGCCTGACGGTGGTCACACAGCGGCCTCGTTGCCACCGGCTCCCCGGAGCAGCCCTTCTGGCCCGGGGGACACCTGACGTTAGAATGGGCCAGACCGCGAGCTCATTCCAGAAATGGAAGTTGCTCAGGGGCCACGGCATCGGCAGGCCGAGTTGCCCACACGCCACACTCACAGCACACGCGGGCGGGCGCACACTCCTGGGGCGGGGGGCCGAGGGCCGGCCGCCCGGCGGAGGCCCCTGGGGAGCCTACCTTGCAGCAAGCCCGTGAGGACGCGCGAGAAGGTCACGAAGGCCAGGTGGGCGCCGCCCAGGCGCGCGAGCAGCGGGGTGGCGGCCGTGATGAGGCCCCAGGCGGAGGCCGACAGGAGGATGACCTTCTCACCCCCGACCCTGGGGGGCAAGAGGGCAGCGATGGGGGGCCCGGCGCCAGGGCGACCCGCGGTCCTGCCGCGCAGGCACGCGCCCGGGACGGGTGGGAGGCTGGGCCCTCCCTCCCTCCCTGGAGCGACCCCGTCTGTCCGTCCACCCCATGCCCCAAGAGTGCTCACCGGGACCCCGAGCCCCGACGCAGAGCGGTGCACCCCCTCCGCCCTCCCGGGGCCTCAGGCCTCCCCGCTCCGGCTTCCTCGCGCGGGGGGGCTCTCCCCGCAGGAACTTCCCAGGAGGACCCCTAAGAGTGCGCCAGCCCAGCACGGGGAGCGGGGTGCTCACCGGTCCCCCAGGTGGCCGCCCACGATCTGAGTCAGGCAGTAGCCCCAGAAGAAGCTGCTGAGCACCACCCCGGCTTCCTTCTTGCTCCAGCCGAAGTCCTGGCTCATGGAGACGGTGCAGATGGGCACACTCACGCGGGCGCAGTACAGCAGGCACGTGCCCAGCAGCAGGGCCCCCGTCCATGCCTGGCACTCGGGCCTGCGGGCAGGGGCGGGTCAGCCCCGGGGCGGGCGGAGGTGGCGGAGGCCCGCGGCCACCTCCCGAGCGCCCGGCTGCCCCTGGGGACTCCCAGACAGACGCGGGGGACGGCGCTCCTGGCAGCAGCGGCCGGGAGCAGCCCGCGTGGTCGGCTGCGGTGTGGCCGCATCCGCCGTGGCCGGGAGGCCGGGAGCAGCCCGCGGGGGGCCGGGGTCCTGCCTGCACCAGGACTCGTCCACCTGCCTGGGGTCGGGGCAGGAGACCAGGTCCTCCCCGGGGAGAGACCTCAGGCTGTTGGGAGGGGCCTGGCCCAGCACACGACGTGGGCAGAGGCATCAGTGCCCCAGGGAGGTCCCAGGAGGAGAGGGTCAAAGGTGAGAGGCCAGGGTGCCAGACAGACTCCCCACCCCCATCACCCAGGAACGTGGCGGGACTCAGCGGGGAGAGGAAGGCCGGGCGGGAAGACAGGAACCAAAGCAGCCGGGGAGGGCGTCCGGGAGGGCCCGGCAGGGGCCTCGGGGGCAGTTGTCCGAGCAGAGCAGAGACGGAGGCCTGGGAGGAGGGGGGCCGTGGACGGCCCCCTCGCTTCCCTCACCCCTGTTCAGGCCTCTGTCCGGACCTGGCTGGGGGCTGCGGGGGGCGGGGCGCCCGTGGTCTGCCAGAGAGCAGACTGGGCCTGGGAGGCGGGCGGGGGCTCGACCTGCGGCAGACGCGGGGCGGGCTTCCCACCTGCTGCCCTCCCAGGCTCGTGCTGCGGGGACGGCTGGGGGGGCAGTCCGGGGGGGCCGGGAGCTGCGGACAAGGCTACAGGGCGTGGGACCTGCGGCGGGCCGCCTGGCCTCCTCGGGCCTCCGTTTCCCCAGCGAAGAAGAGCCCAGGACCCCTGCCTCCCTCGTGGTCCAGGAAGCCACAGAGTGACCCGCAGGCTCCTGGCGCCCTCACAAGAAGCCATTGTGACCGGCCTGGAGGAGGCATGGCGGCTGCGTCAGCTCCTGCACGGGGGTCAGCGGCGCCTTTCCAGCGTGGGGAGCAAGACAGGAGAGGGCAGCCCCCCCGGGTCTCCGCGGGCACACACTCCCCGCTGTGTCCCCACGGGGGCTGCTGCACCCCAGCAGAGGCAGCTGATTCCAGGTTCGAGACCACCCCGCTAGGGCTTTGGGGTGAATGGATCCACGTCCCAAACGGCTGCCTGCTGTCCCCAAACCGATCCGTGTCTGCAGGCCGGCCGGTCCGCAGTCGGGGAGCGCTGTCTGTCTGCCCGGCTCCTGCCGGAGCGTGTGGTCCCCTGCATGGGGCAGCCGTCTGGGCCCTGGCACAACCCAAGAACCCGTCCCTTCCTGGGCCTCAGTTTCCCCATGGGCACAGTGAAGAGGTCGCACTGGACCTTGGATTTCAAGCTGGGTCTCTGGGTGCTCGGCGGGGTCCCTCTGCCGCTACCTGCTTCACGTGTCAGAACTCCCCCCACCCCGGGTCCTGTCCCCACAGCCCTGGGGTGCAGGATCCCCGCCTGGCCGTGCCTCACAGAGGCATGGCAGCGCTGTCCTGGAAAGGGCCCCGGGGCCGCTCAGCCTCTGCTAGGAAGGGGCCCTGGCTGTCCTGCCCCCACCCTACTTCCTGGTCCTTAAAATGCTCCGGGAAGTCAGGCGCCTGGAACGGCCTCACAGGGGCAGGTGGGACGGGCCCTGGGGCCTCCCGCGCCTGAGAGGCGGGTGGGGCGGACCCCCACCGACTGGTGTTCACAGAGCAAAGGCTGCGAGGTGGTGGGCGGGGGCCGGGCGTCCGCAAGGCCCCGGAGCCCCGAGCAGTGCTCGGCCGGCGCCCGTCTGCATGGAACGCAGGAGCTGCGGGGGCTGCGGGCCCCTCGGGGGCTCCAGCCGACCATGGGGATCACGCCTGGACGTCTCCCCGAGGCCGCCCCCCATCCCCAGATCGGACGAAGCTTGCGCGGGGTGCACAGCCCACGCTCCAGCGCCCGGCGTCTGGCCCCAGGGCTGCGGGCCAGTCAGGACTTTGCTCCCTCTGCGCAAACAGTCCCGCCGGGCTCAGCAGCGACACACAGTCCCGCCGTCCTAGCTGCCACCCAGGGAGCCGGCAGAGGACACCGTGCGCGCGCCCGGTCCCCAGCAGGGCTGAGGTCCCCAGGCACACGTCCTGGCGGGACCACGCAGGACCACGGTTCTGGTTTTCACTGCTGGCCAGACAAGGGGAGCAGAGGGCACGGGAGCAAGGCCGTCGCCCCCCAAAAGGGCCGCAGTCCAAGGTGCCTCCGAAAGGGGCTTCGTTCCTTGACGTGGTCGGGGCAGCGCGGGCTCGCCCGCGCCCCGCAGGCCCGACCCCGTCGCCCCGGCAGCCTGGCTCTCAGGTGCCGTCGCTCTCCCGGGGGCGCGGGAGGCCGCACCCTGAGCTGGCAGGCAGTGTCGGCTGGGTGAGCCGAGGGCTGCCCTTCAAGCTGCCAGGGACACAGCGCGAGGACGTCTCATCTGCCTGGAGGTGTGACCCAGACGCCGCCCGCTGGTGAGGACGCTCAGTCCACAGCGGGCGAGGCCCGAGAGCGTCGTCCCGCCGCCTGGGCGGCCCGAGCCTCCGCCGGTGCCCCCCCCACCTCGAGCCGTCCCCCGGGCAGCTCTACGCGCCTGCGCTTCCTGCCGCGGCCCCCGTGCCCGGAGCACAACCCTGGCTGAGCAAACCTGCGGTCGGTCACATGGCCCCCGGATTCAGAAAAGGGAACTGAGCGGGCGGGCGCCGTGGGCCAGGGAGCGGCAGGCCGAGGGGACACGTGGGTCCTGGGCCGCGGGCGCCCGCCACCCGGGATGCGGCGGGAGGGGGCCGGCGGGCCGACCGGCAGCGCGGGCAGCGGGCGCTCAGGCCCCGTGAACAGCAGCGGCTGTTGTTGTTATTAGTGTCACCCACTCAGGGGCGAGAACGACCTCCGACCTCCTCCCCCCGAGCACGGCCGCACTCAGGGCCCGCGGGTCCCTCCAGGACACCCGCCTGCCCTGCCCGTCGCCGTCCTGGGGCGCACGTGCGGCTCTCACACCGAGCGGAGGGCAAAGCCTGGCCAGGCGATTAAGCCGCCACCTGAGAGGAAGTTTGCAGAGTGTTCCATGGCCCCGGGCCACAGCCTGCGGCCCAGCCCACTGCCCAGCCGGCTGCCACCTGGCACAGGCTGGGAGCAAGGCTCCGCCCCATAACCAGCAGGATGCGACGGGGGAGGGAGCAAGGGGGGCAGCGAGGGCGCCCCTGGCCCCCGCACGCCCCTCACAATCCCCGGTCGCCCCGGGGCGGCCAGGCTGCGACCGCCTGAGCTTTGCGGTCACGCTCGCGCTGCCGCCAGCCCTCGCTCCCTGCTCCCTGTCGCGACCCCAACACTAGGGACTGTCCCGCGGGGCCCCGGCCACCCCCTGCTGGGGGCAGGGGGCCACGAGGGCGCGCTCCCTGGGGACCGAAGCCGGAGGTGAGCAGCCCTGGGCCCAGGGCCTGGCGAGCGTCCTCAGCCCACAGAGCCCGTGCCCGGCTGAGCCGCCCAGGGGGCTCCCCTGGGGCTCTGTCCTGGCTCCCGACCAGCGCACAGGAAAAGGAGTTGGGGACTTGCCAGGGCCCTTCCTGCCCCGGGGCCCTCGCTCACAGCACGCGCGGAGCACGCGTGGAGCACAAGGCGGCGGGACGGGGCGACCGGTCAGCCGCAGGCCCAGTGCGTGCCCCGCAGCCCGACTGCCCCGCGGGTGACTCGGAAGCGCCCCGCCGCACCCTCAGGTCCGGTCCGGTGGTGCTGCCCTCCCTGGCAGGGTCAGTTCCGGGCCGCGCGCGGTCCCTCCGCCCCAACCGGACGACGCCCCCTACCCCGGGCAGGCCTCCCGGCTCCTGGGACCCCAGCTGCCTGGAGGGGCTCAGGGGACACTGGGCCCTGGGCTGGGTGGAAGGTTGGAGGGACCTGTGGGCTCCTGCCCCGCGGGGTCTGGGGCAGGGGCTGCTCCGGGTGGAGCAAAAGAGGCCCTGCCGCGGGACTCTCAGGACTTTGGGGACGTGCCCACCGGGCGCGCTGCTCCTCCCCTTGCCCCTCCCCCGGCCCCCCGGGCGCCCCACCTGGACCACTGGGCGTCCTCCGCCGCCTCCTGGCGGGCCTGCTCCGGGGGCGACCGTCCGGGCTGCATCACGCACAGAGAGTGCGGAGCCGGCTCCCGCCAGCGGCCCACGCGGGCAGCACCGCCCAAGTCCACGTGTCAGTCCCAGCGGCGCTTCCGTCTGGCGCTCCCAGGAACGTGTCGCCCCCAGACGGTCCGCCACCGCGGCGGCGGCGGGGGCGGGGGCGGTGGGGGCGGGGGAGCGGGCGGGGCACCCCTCTCGGTCCCCGCCCCAGGCCGGGCACGCCCCTGGGTACAGCCCGCCCGGCCTCCCCGCCGCTCGGCCCGGCTGCGAGCAAGGCCGGCTGCCCTCTGCTGCCACCGCGCCCCACACCCTCTGGCGGTGGCTCGGGCTCCCCTGCAGCGTGCGGCGCAGATGTGGCTTTGGACACGTGGCTGAGCCCGGGGAGCCTGCTGCCCATCCATAGATGGGGGTCCCCGCCTCACAGGGCTGCGAGCCCATCCAAGGAAAGTCAGGGCCGTCTTTCCAGGTGCAGGGGCCGTCAGGCTCCCGTGCAACCCAGTGTTCAAATAGGTCTCGGAAGGGCTCCAGCCCGTGACCTCGAACCAGGCGCCCACCCGGCAGGTGCTCGCGGACCCGGCCTGCGCCCTCTGCGGAGGCGGCTGGGCTTGCAGCCCGAGCCGGCCCTGAGATGCCGGCCAGGGTGGGCCCGCTGGGACGCAGCGGCCGTGGCTGGTTTCTGGCCACGCTCTGCCGTTTCCAGGAGCCGCCGCCTCCTCACACAGCGTCCGTCTGTCAGCTCTGTCCGTCCTCCACGCAGCAGCTGGGTGCCGGGCCCCAGGGGCTGCTCCCCGCACACAGGTCGAGCCGACCGTCCCGCACCCCAGAGCACCCCCTGGGGCCCTCCCGCCTAGGTCCTGCGCCGGGAGCAGCCCGCCCAGCGTCGCCACCCTGGCTCCCGCCTGCCCCGGAGCTCCCCACGCCTGCCCGGCTCCAGCTGCGCTTGCCGACCCGGGGCTCCTTCCGTCCGCGTCTGGTGGTCAGCGGCGGAGAAGGATGGCGGCGGAGGGAGGGCGGAGGCCGCTTCCCCCAGGGATCCCTCGCCTCCCGCCAAGGAGTTGGAGAGTTGTTGCTGAACCTGGTGCCCACGGCGCCCCATCCCCTGCCTGGTCGTTCACCTGCGCCCATCACCCCGGCTCTCTGACGGTCGTGCTCTACAAAGCCCCGCGGCCACCCTGGTGGACGCTGTGGGACTGCTCAGCCTCCCTCCCCCAGGGGCTGGTGCTGTGGGAAGAGTAAAGGGGGGCGGGGGAGCATTGTTTTGGGAGGTGGCTGGGCTGGGCGCTGCCCCTGAAATGGTGTGCCTGAAGGCTCTCCTCGCGGAGGGGGGCCCGCCGCCGGGGGGCGGAGGGGCAGCTCGCTGAGGTGCGGGGGGCCTGGAGCCGCCAGGGCCGCTGGGGAACGCGGTGGGGGACGCAGTGGGGTCAGGGCCAGCCCCACAGGCCTGCAAGGCCCCGCAGCCTTCTGAGGGTGGGAGCCGCCAGAGGGTCCCGGTCACGGATCACCTGGCTGCTCAGGGTGCGATCAGCTCAGGGCCGCCAGGGTGGAGGTGGGGAGGCCGGGGCCCCGGCCAGGGCGGACGGCGGGCCGCGCGGGGGCCGAGCGCTCGCGGTGGGATGTGTGACAGCGAGGGCCCGGGGCGAGCGCCGGACCCCTCTCGGACCCTGAGCTTGGCAGGGCCTCGGGCCCTCAGGCCGAGTGTCTTGATCGAGTGTCACATTCCAGAGGAAGCTAGAAACACTGGGCGCCGGCCGTGTGGGCGCCGGCTCCCGGCTGGTGGCTGACCCTGGAAGCCACTCCAGGGGAGTCGGCTGGCACCCCGTGTGCCAAAGGAGGGTGGGTGCTGGTGACACAGCCGTCCCTGCAGGGTGCTGGTCCCACCTCCTCATTTGGGACCCGCCCCTTTCCAAGGGGGAAAGGTTATGGCCCAGGGCCGCTCCCAGCGTGGCTTCCTGTGAACGGCAGAGCCAGCAGGCCAGGGCCTGGGCCTCCCGGGCCTCCCGCTCACCACCTCTGCCCCCTTCGCAACCCAGCAAGGACAGCGCCCCCTCCTGAAGGTGACAGACGCCCCACATCGCTGCAGGTGAACGTAGGCAGGGAGGGTTGGTCTCTGGATACAATTTGTGGGAACTGGGGTGGGGTGGGGGGTGCCCGCCTTTGGAGCCGAGAGGAACGAGGTCGTAACTGTGCGCAACGTCAGCGGAAACCAGAACGACACAGTTCACGCTGAGACATGGGTCCGGCGTTACTATGGGTTCCGGACGTGGGTCCCAGGGTCTGCAGCAGCGCATCCCAGGGCTGCCAGGCCGCGACCGCCTCACACCGAGGACACCGCCGCCGAGCCGAGAGGGTGTGGCCGCAAGGGCACCTGCGCCCTGTCCCACCCCCACCGCCGCCTCCCTGAGGGGCCCTCCTGCCCAGGAGCGGGACTCCTCTGCGTTGGGAGCAGGACCGCCAGACACCGCGGTCCGCTGCCTGCGGCCCGTCTGCAGAGTGACGTCACAGCCAGGCGGGCCCGCGCCCCTCCCTGGTCACCAGGCTCAAGGCCCGCGCGCGGCCCGCTCTGGAGCCTGCAGCGCTCGAGGGTCCCCGGCCGGCCCCGCGGCCCTCCCGGCGATGGCACCGCCACCGCCACCGCCACGGGGAAGCCCTCCACACGCCAGGCTTGTCCCAGATGACGACTGAAGCCTTGTCTAGAGGCCACTTCACTGGTCCTTGAAATCAAAGCGAAACCTTTATTTCCCACAGAACTGCCCAGGAGAGATGGGCCGTCGATCTCCCCGGGAGCGTCTCTGACCACGTACAGCACCAAAATATGTATTTGAAAAATTAAAAAACACACCGCCCGCCCCTCACACACACGTGTGCCCCCAAAGCCACACAGCCCAGACCGAAGGGAAAACAAACCAGAGTCGGTGGCCTCGCACACACACGTCTTTGAGTCAGGATTTACAAATTTATAGTCTTTGCTATGAAGAAACAAAACAAACAAAACCCGGGGGAGGGGCAGCTCGCGCACGGAGACCCAGGAGGGCGAGGAGAGCGAGTCGCCTGCCCGCAGCAGGACAGCGGCCAGCGCTTCTCGGGGGCTCTGGGGGCCGGGGGGCCACGGCGCCCCCACAGACGGCGCAGCAGCCGGGCACCGCCTCCCCCGGGACACGCCGTGCGCGGTCGGCACCAGGCTTCCGGAGACACGCGTCTTTCGCTGCGAGCTTTCTGGCGCTTGTAGGGGCCACTTTTTCCTTTAAAAGAGGTGCCAGGTGAGAAAGAAGTAAAGGGGAGAGTCTCCACTGCAGTAAGAACCCCTCAGTCCAGCCAGACGTCCTGGCGAGACCCACGCGGCGCCGCGCAGGACCCCGGGCGCACAGGTCTACTTGGGCTCCTCGATGACGCCTTTGCTGAGGTCTGTCATTTTGGGGTACTTGACTTTCTTCTGGTCCAGCTCATTCTGAGCCCAAAGGAGGAGCTTCAGCAACTTCGCCAGCTTGGGCGTCGACTCACGATTCTCGTAATCCAGGACGGCCTGGTTGACCTCGCTCCACACCTAGAAGACACACAGCCAGTGAGACGCCGCGCACCGGGCGCCGGCCCAGGCGTCGCTACGCCACATGCTTCCTGCCTCTCAGAGGCCAGGTCCCCGCGAGGAGCCTGTCATCACTGAGACTCACGCGAAGCTCACGGCAGGCGTGAACCCAGGGTCTTGACCAGAAGGGGCTCCTGGTCTGTCGGCAGCGGCCCCACCTGGGCTGGGCGGCAGGGCAGCCGTGAGCCAGGCTGGAGGGAGGAGCAGAGCAGGGCGACAAGCTCCACCCTCCAAGCTGCAAGGGGACCTGCCGTGGCCTGAAGGACCGTGGAGGGGGGACAGGGAGCTGCCTCGGGGGGCGTGACCGACGCCACACCCCTGGAACACAGGACCGGCAGTGAGGGCAGGGAGCTTCAGAAGCAAGTCTGGGAGTTTAAATAAAACACTCTCAGGACACCTGCTTCCCAGAGTCTCCAGGTAAACAGGAAGACGGTTAAGACAAATGAGAAAAATTGGCAGAGGCTCGCACACAGCTGAGCGCTGAGCAACACAGGTTTGAGCCGTGCGGGTCCACCACACGTGGATTTTCCCTCTGCAGCCTCGGACTTCACACCCACCGCGGGGGATGCACGGGCTGGGGGGCCGGCTGCAGGCACTGCCACGCCAGGCACACAGGGGCTGGACCTCCGCGGGCCCCAGCACCCCCATCGGACGCCCAGCAACCCGGCTCCGCGGGACCGAGGAGCTGCCCGCGGCCCGGCTCTCGGGGAGCCGGGGCCACACGTGGTGCCCAGAAACCCCGCGCTGTCCGTGGGCCGCCCGGCGGCCGGGTGAAGCCACAGCACTCTGCTCCTGACCCCTCGAAGAGGGACGGGCCGCCCGGGAAGCCCCGGCCGCAGGCAGGCACAGACCGGGAACGCTCTGCCCGGGAGGCGCCACGTGGTACGCGGCGCCCCTACCTTCTGCCGCTGCATCATGTTCAGCAGGTCCCCGAAGGGCGAGTCCTCAGGGTTGTCGAAGGCCAGCAGGGCCAGCGTGCGCTCCATCTCCGTCAGGCACTCCCTGCTCTCCTCCCCCTGCTCCGCCAGCTGCGTCTGCGCGAACTCCAGCGCCGCCTCCGTCTCCCGCTGGCGGATCAGCTCGATCAGGTGCTGCTGCTGCTCCGGGGCCGAGGGGCACAGGCTCAGACGCCCGCAGGGGCACGCGGCCCCAGCCGCGCCGCGCTCCACCCCAAAAGGCCCCCCGGGCCCGGGTGAGCGCGCTTCCGTTCCCAGGCCAGCCCAAACCCCTTCCCCACGCGAAGGGGACGTCGCTCCGTGAGCAGATTCACCCGTCGCCTCTAGGCCCGCGCAGGCTGCCTGCCGAGGCCCCCGCAGCAGGCGCCCCTGCCCCCCACACCCACCTGCAGGTGGAAGTGCAGGTGGCGGTTGGTGTCCAGCAGCTCGGGGTGGAGGCTGTTGATCAAGGCGACGGCCTCCTGGATCCGCCCCTTCAGGATCATCTCGCGGATTTTGATCCGCTCGTCGAGGGTTTCTAGATCCACGCTAGGCTCGATCCCGGATTCCATCCGGAACTTCTCCGCGGCCTCCTTGAAGCCCTCTGGAAGCGAAAGCCAGGCCGTCACCGCCGGAGGGCCGGCCGGACGTCCATGCAGAGACTGCGTCACTCTAAGCCCCTCTGCCCTGAGTAAGTAGTCCCATGGGGACTGCACTTCCTCAGGGGTCAGCGTTCGCATCTCTGCCCTAGAAACGCAGGAAATGAAGCCAGGCCCAGGCTGGCGGGGGGTCCCTGAAGGCGGCTGCAGCCCCAAGGCAGCCCCAGAGCCTCCGGGGCCTGGCCACGCCCACCTCCCAGCACCAAAGCAGCCTCTGTGCCCCTCCTTATACGCCCCACACAGCCACCACCTCACGCTCCCTCCTCACCCACCAAAAAAAAAAAAGTCTCAACAGAGACTACCCAGGCGGGGGCGGAGGATGGCACTCAGACCCCACGGCAGAAGACCCAGCCCTTTGGAAACGCGTGGGCGTCCGGCCACGGGCAGGATCCCCCTTCTCCTTTCCACCGTCACAGAGCCCTCCACTGCCCTCCTGCGCTCCGCCCTGCCCGCGCAGCCTCGGACAGACAGCCCCGCCAGACGCAGTGGGCTGGCCAGGAGCACGCCGCCCGGCCCACTCGCGCGCCACGACGTCCTCGGCGGTGGTGGTTGGCCACCGACACATCAGGAGCCTGGAAACGGGATCTGCCTCGAGGCGCAGAGCCTGGTAGGCCGGCGCTGCGTGCTCACAATGCCGGAGCCGACCTCCCGCACCTGGAGCTCAGAGGCTTGGAGCGCGCACACCGCGGGGGGGAGCCCGCAGCACCCGGCTGCAGGCCGCTGCCTTTGACCAGGCTGTTAGTGACCTGTGACCAGGTAGCTAATTTACCTGTGACCAGGTAGTTCATGATGAGGCGGTTCATGTCTGCTCGCTGCACATGCAAATTATTGAGCTTTTCCATCCACTCATCTTTCGTAATTTCGTCGGGTTTTTCTGTGTAACTCATTCTGACTTGACTTCTACGGGAGAAAAAGAGGCGAGGAATCGGTGGGGGGGTCCTCGAACAGCTGTGATCGTTTCGGAGACAAACACAGCGACGCAGCGAAAGGCACTGCGAGCAGGACAGTGCGCGAGATCTGGAGCAGAGCCTGCCACCGGGAGACGGCTGGGCGACCGGAAGGTAGGACAGATGCAAGAAAGAGCCAGGGCCAAAGCACGGAGAGGTCCTGAGGTCGGCCGGGGTCAGACTGCGCGAGGCCCTCCCGGCTGAGGAGGAGTCGCCTCAGATTCCCCCCAAGCACGAGGGCCGGAGGGGCGGCCCGAGAACCACACGCCGTGATGCCCGCGCTCAAAAGGAGCTCGCCACCAGCCACCGGCCCGACAGCCTCAGAAGTGCCACCACCGCGTGACAGGCCCGGGACGGCCAGGCGCTCGCTGCAGCCCTCCTGAGAGCGCCCGCACGGGCAGCTACGGCCCCGCAGGGCCGCGACCCTGCACTCACCCCCGCCACCAGGCAGACAGGCACAGAAACACTGTTCCAGACGGCGGGACGTGGAAGCCACCCGCCAGACGTCCCCCTGAGCGGTGCACGACCCACGATGGGGGCAGGCGCGTGTCAGGATCCAGAACTTTCCAGACCACGCAACGACGCCGTGGCACAAGCTACACTGTGTTACTCGACGTCCCTGCGGGGCCAAGGGCGGCCCCATGATCCAGTCTCGACTCTTCTGTGAAATGGGCGAGTACTTGTGTTGAGTGGGACAGAGGCCATTAAATGCCTCTGCCAGCTCGGGTTTTGCCACTGAACAGGTTAAAAAACAAATGCTCGGTTCTCAGAGCTTGTCGGATGTTAGGCTGCTGAGATGGGACGGTGCGTGTGTTCACGCGGCAGAATGCGCTAACGCAGTCACGGCCATCGAGCACGGCCACACGGGCGACTCTCAGAAACTGGCCGCTGATACAGCAGCTTGCGGCCAAGGCTCAAGTGAGGCAGGCTGTCTAGTAAAGAAAACCAAGGCAGGCAAGGCAAACTATGTAACGTGTGCGTTACATGTAAACACACACGAAATAGGAAACTCAGGAGGTGCGGCTGAGGAAGGAGGGGCGGACAGGGGCCGGCCCAGGAGGACCGCCTGAGCTCCGGAGATGGGCCAGCCCACCACGGCCCACCTGGTTCTATCCTTCACGTTGACAGTCCCCGTTCAGGACACTACTTTACACACAGCGAAGCCCATGCTCGACGCTTCAATAAATTTTAAAATTAAAAGACGGTGAGTGATGTGGGGTGGTGAGGCCTGAGCAGAATCAGTAAGGACCACCAGACAAGGGGAACCGGGGGCAGAAGAGCTGGGGACGCCCGCGAGCCTAGCGGCTGGACCAAGCGTGGAGGGGTCAGAGGACAAGTGGAGGGTTCAAGCTGCGCCCGTGAAGGACAGAACTGCAGATGAAGGGGCCGGACTGAGACAGGAACAGGTTTGGGGAGCAGGGCCAGTTTGGGCTGCCCGTCAGCGCACAGCTGAGGTCCAGCAGGCACCTGGATTATTGCTGGCAGGCTCAGCGCTGGGAACATTAATTAAGGAAACATCCGCCAGGAAGCATGGACAGCCAAGAGCCAGCCACAGGTCACCCAGGGAGAGTGGGGAGGGGTGCACAGGGGCACGAGGCACAGTTCTGGGCTCGTGGAAGATGCCGACCCTCAGAGCACAGCAGAGGACGACGGGCACCTAAGACAGAACCAAGAGGCGCCGTTCCTCAAACACACGCCCATCCTTCCTGGCCGCTGCCAACTGCGCAACTCAGGTCAAAGGCGCGTTCCCCCACGCGCCAAAAAGGCACCTTTCCTCAGTTCCCGCTGAGCCGCCACACTGGCTGCACCACTCCCCGCCGGCGAGAGCGACTTTCCAAAGCCACCGCTTTGGAGAAGTCCGCGGTTCAGCATCAGCGGACGCAGAATCCCACTTCCCAGCTCCGAAGAGGGCGCTGGCTTCCCCGGCAGCAGTTTACGCCCTCGCCAGGGCGGTCCCGCTGGAAGCAGTGGCTCTAAAAACCGACCTCTTGGCAGAGACAAACGTGCCATGTCTCGGGACTCGGGTTCGCGACCACTTCCGAACGCAGAGCCGCTCCTGGCGGTGGTGCCACGGTGGGGATCGCTGCGCCCGGCTCCGCTTCGGCTGGGAGCGACCGGCAGTTTGACTTGCAAAACCAGGGGGCGCCGCCGCCACTCGGGAACAAGCCCCGACCAGACATCTGTTCGGACTGCGACCCCCTGAGACCCGGTGCGGGTCCGGCCCCCTCCCCGCCCCGCCGCGCTCCCGCTCGGGCCGATCGCCTGGGCCCGCCGCGGCCATCTTACCGTGCGGATCCCGCCTCCCGCGCTGCGCAGTCTCCGCGGCCGCTCGGGGGGCCGGGCCGGGTGGGGAGGGGGCACGATGGCGTCGGGCAGGGGGAGGTGGAGGCGGGGGCCGCGGCAGAGGCGGGGGCGGGGTACGGGAGGGCAGACGCACCGGCGGCCGCCCCCTCGGTCTCTTCCCGCGAGATAGAGAGATCGTGAGCCGTCAGCCAATGAAGTGCTCCCGCGAGGGGGCGGCACACGGCGATCACCCGGAAGCGCGGAACTACAGCTTCCGTCCTTGCGCAGAACGCCCTTCGCGCTCCCTCACTCTACGGGTTGGCGCGAGAGTCAAAGAGCGTCGTCCGTCGCCGGGCAAAATGGCGTCCGTGGAGGCGTCGCTCTGGGGGAACTTCGCGCGGGGAATGCGGCAGCTAGATTGAGTCCGAGGCGAAGGTCCCAGCGTCCCTTCCGTCGTTTGTGTGAGCCCAGAGGGCACGGGGCGGGGGTGGGGCCTGGCGCCGGGACTCCGCGCCGCCCCGAGGCGCCGGCCCGGGAAGAGCGCCCGGTTCCCTGGGTGGGGCGGCGCGGGGTCCCGGCCGTGTTGGTGAGCGCACTGCAGCTCGCTCCGCAGGGGGCAGCTCCCGCCGGGGCCAGGCGCTGCGGCGCGGCTCGCACCCGGTCCCTGGCGCGCTTTGCCCGTCGCACCCGTCTGCTCGAGAAGAAGGCGCACTCCGAGCGGAGCTCGGGCTCCTGTCCCCCAGAGGGCGGTGTAGCGACTTCCAGTGCTTCGGGAGGGCGTGGCGGGCAGCTTCGTTCGCGACCCTCGCGAATCCACGGCTCCGTAAGGTCGCAGTCGGAGGCCCGTGGCTCCGCGCGGGCGCTCCCGGGGGCGCTGGCCGCACAAGCGGCGCCGGACTCCTCGCAGAAAGCCTCGTGGGCAGGTAGGCTCGACCATGACGGCGGCCCCGCGAATCGAGGGAGCGAACCCGTGGGGTGCGGATCTGTTTAAAACGCAGGTGCACTTATACCTGTCATTGATGCTTTGCAACTACTTTTAACCCCATAACCAGTTTCAGGAGTCGGCCGAAGGCGAGTGACGGCCGTGCAGAACTTTGCAATTGTTTTTAACGCCAGTGCCCTGAGGATAACGGCCCATTCCGGTACCGAAAGGCTCCAGCTGCGGGTCACAGGCGCGCGGCCCCGCCCCCGGCAGCCCACCGGTTACGGAGTCGGCAGATTCAGTTCCTGCCCGGTGGCCTCTGCTCGGGGTCGCCCCTCCCCGGGGACCTGCCAGCTGCCGTCTGAAGCCCGCCCAGCAGGCCGGGCGGTCTCCTTGCCCCTGACCCGTGCACACCCGTCCGAGACGCCGCGTTGCCTCTGCAAAGCGCGCGCAGCTGAGAGCCTGGCCGCCCTTGCCCGTGGCCTCTGCTCCAGCCATCCAGCCTGCTGGGGGCTCGCGCATAGCTTGCTCCTGGGCTTGTGGAGGACGTCCCTGAACCAAGCGGGATGCAGTGTCTCCTTCGGCTCACAGGGTACCCACACACTCCCTTTGTGGCTTGCGCTCCCTGGTCTGTCACTGTCACCTGACGGTACCTCGTGACGGACCACAAGCGCCAGCTTCCCGAGAGCTGAAGCGTCCGGTGCGCCGTGCGGGTTCCACAGCCGCTTGTTGGAAGCGTGAAGGAACTGGAGGGACGCCGAGGACCTTCCCTGGAAGCACTCTCAGCAGAAGGAGCCGGGACTGAGGAGAGAGCGACCGCAGAGCTCACTGAGAAAGTCTGGACTGATGGACACCCCGAAGTGGAGCCCGGTTGGTGGGGCTGCTGCTGGTGGCACCAGCCGAGCAAGAGCTTTCTGAGCGGAAGAGAGGAGGGAAGGGGATGCGCCCAGCCTGGGCCTTGGTGACCTGGCGGGGCTGAGAGCAGGCGCTCAGGGACAGCCCGCGGAGGGGGAGGGTGGAGAGGTCCGCGATCCGGGAGGATGGCAGCGTGGAGCCAGGAGCCCCTGCTGCCCAGGGAGCGCACAGAGGACACAGCCGCGGTGGCCTGGCGAGGTCCGGGGCTGCGCAGGCGCAGAGTTGCTAGGAGACGTGATTAGCAGCCCCGTGTGCAGCAAGGCGCTGTCCAGCATGGCGTTCCCCAGAAATGATGCACTTGGCAGTCGCGGGGGACGAGCAAGCGCGGTGGCTGGGCGGGGGTGGAACACGGTAGATGGGAGCGAGCTGAGCGGAGGGTGCAGGTGAGGTGGAGGCAGCTAGGCTGCCCGAACGCGCTCCGGAGGGATTCGGGCCGTGCCGTAGGGGGGCATCAAGCGGCGGCAGGAGGGGAACAGGTGAGTGGCTGACGGGGGAAGGACGGCGGTAGAGGTAAGCCCCGGCAGGCGTGCCCGGCGCCCCTGTGGAGGCTCTACGGAGGGAGGTAGAGCCCTGGGCCAGAGCCCCGAAGAGTCCAGCACTCAGCGAGGCACCTGGGGCCAGCAAGGAGGTGGTGGGTGCAGGGCCACCGGTGCCCTCTGGGGCAGCGGCCAGGTCGGCCCAGGTTTCAGCCAGGTGGCACCACTACCTGCTGAGCTGCTTGATGGGGGGGGGGGGGTCTGTGGGAGGAGGAGCCAGAGGCTCTTCGAGCCCAGGTGGGGCCTCCATTGGACAGATTGGCCTTTCTCTGAAGGGAGCTGTTAACAGCTTATTGGTTTTAAAAGAGAGTTGAAGAACTTTTTAAAGGGTAATAAATTGAGAATAAAATGCAGGCGACCTCCTTTCCTGAAGTCCTGGTCATGTGGAGCAGCCAGGTCCTACCCACCCACAGCCTTTCTGTGGCTGCTTTTGTCTCGCTCTCAAAACCCAGCAGCAAAAATGAAACCCCCACTCACTGAGGTGCCCCCCACCCAAAGCCTTGACTCCAGGTCCGGCTGCTGCTTGGCCTCACAACCACAAGTGGGCAGCAAACACCGGGAGTCGGGGCCGCGGCCTTTGCCGTCCCCAGGTGCGGGGCCGCGAGGGAGAGCTGCGCCGCTGGCTGGCTGTGCACAGGCTCCGGTGCCCTGCAGCCCGGCTGAACAGAGTCCCGTGAGGCGAGCTGAAAGGGGGCGGTCCGGTGGGGTCGCCCTACCCAGCACCGGCACCTGCACGCGCTCCTGTTGGGACTGCGGCTGCGTCCCAGCGCACGGAGCATCCTAAGTTCATTGGCTGGGTGAAACAACAGGAACGCTTTCCCTGATTACTTTTTTAAAAGATTTTATTTATTTTTAGACACAGGGCAAGGGAAGGAGAAAGAGAGGGAAAGAAACATCCATGTGGGGTTGCTCTTGTGCACCCCCTACTGGGGGCCTGGCCCGCAACCCAGGCCTGTGTCCTGACTGGGAATCGAACTGGCGACCCTTTGGTTCGCAGGCCGGCGCTCAGTCCACGCAACCGCCCCCGCCGGGGCCTGATTCCTTTTTCAGTGTTTCATTCCTGCTGAGCTTATAACTGCGTCCAGCGTACGGCCCCCTGAGATGCGTGGCGTGCCCGGGGCGGGCGGCCTTGCTGCAGCGGGCTGGCGGGGGTGCAGGCGCCGCCCCGGGTGGCGCTCAGCGTTTGTTTGGCCCAGAGTTTGAGGTACATAGACTGGTTTGGGCGTCAACCCTTCTTTTCTGTTTTTTCCAATTTAAAAGGTTGACGTGTGTATATGTAAACACGCATAACATAATATGTTCATAGTCACATCAGTCTGTGCTCTAAGGGTTTTTTTGTTTTTTGTTTTTTTTGTTGTTGTTTTCCATGACCCCGATGTTTCCAGATGTCGTAAATGGATGTCTGGTTGGAGGTAGAAGCGCTGAATGAAGATGAGACATTTTTTGATGAATGTTCACGTTTTCCTTTTTTAAAACACTTGCGAAATTTCTTTTTTGATTTCAAAGTCCTCTCCCTTCAGGCTTTAAATGCTTGCTTTGTGTTGGAGCAAAGGAAACTGTCCGAAGAGCCCTGAGGGTCTCATTCCTCTGCGCACCAGAGGGACCGCTTTGGGGGCTCTTGTGTCTCCTCAGGTGTCTCGATTTTAGAAGTTGGTTCGATCTGGAACTCAGAAACATCCTGCTGCGGAAGGGCAGTGTGTAGGTGTTGGCTGTGCTGTTCAAAGACAGAACGGGCTGTGTGGGTGTCCCTCCAAAATCCCTACCAGCCCCGCCCTGCCCCCCGTGGCGTCTCCCTCAGGCTCACCCTTCTCGCTTTCCCCGTGGTGTTTGAGGGAGCCCGGCGAGAGCAGGCGTGGGTTTAGACTGTTTTCTGCTCTGGACAAATCCCGGAGGCGGCTGTGAGACCTGGCTTGAGCTAGTCTCGCTTTGTACATATTTTCTTTTGGGGAAAAAAAATCTCAGAGTGTATCCTGAGCAACAGTAGCTGTGACCCGGAGGGCAGAAGACGGGGGAACTGCCGCATCGGACGGGCCGCCCCGCCCCGCCCCTCGGAGGTCCCGCAGCCGCCCCGCGCGCGGGGCCGGCCCCCCTGCCTCCGTTGCACACGGAGAGGAGCCCCGGAGGCACTGCCGCTTCACTCTCCAAGGGCCTTTCCCCCAGCGGGGCCGGCGTGACCTCCCCGCTGCCCGCGGGGCCGTGCTCGGCTGTGGCTGTCAGGTGCCTGCTGGGGGTGGAGGGGGGGGAGCTAGCCTTGGGAATTAATTCATCCAGAGGCTGACTATGGATGAATTGTCACTGAATTCAGAGGGAAACTTGGGCGTCTCGGTCCCAGGGACCATCCAGAGGCGGGGGACGGAGCCGCGCTGGGCCATGCAGAGGTGTTGCTGCTTCCGCTTCGCCCTTCTGTCTGAGGGTCTCTGCAAGCCGCAGGACGGAGGCTCCTAGGTCCAGCGCCCTGACTTCTCTGCGGTGCTGGCCTCCTGTTGGCTACTCCTCCCGCTGCTGAGTGGTCGACCCACGTCCCCGCGGTCTCCCGCGCTCAGGCATGACACTGCCCAATGCAGCAGCTGCCGTCGGTGCAGGAAAGTCACTCGGCAGGAACCTGGGCACTCCCCGCCGCCCGCCCTCCTTCCCTCACCCTCCCCTCGTCTTCGCTGGTATTTATCCTTTGACCTGAAAGACAAGACTGCAGTGACTCCCGTTTGCTCCTCTAAACAGGTCTCAGCCCACAGCTCGCTTTCTTTTGGTTTCAGTATTGGACATAAAGTTTAACTCCAGAGTCTACCTTTTTCCTTGCTTCCCCCCAGCTTACCAGCCACTCTCGACTCTTGGGCCCTCTGCCTCTGAGACAGTGGTGGCCTCAGAACAGCACCCCGCCCCTCCTCCGTGTGGCGATGGGGTGCCCCGGTGTGGCTCGCCGTGCTGCGCACCGGGGTGTGGGTGGCAGTGGAGCCCGGTATCCCTGCTGGAGAGCCACAGCCCCGTGCTTGGGCCCGGCCGGGCTGAGAGGAGAGGGAAGACGACCCTGTGTCTCCCACCCCCACCCCGTCCCCCACCCTGGGTTTCGCCAGCCTTTCGGACGAGGTGGGGAGAGGCCGGAGCCTCTGATGGGATTTACTGAAGCCTCGGACCGCGGGGGTGGGGCCGGGGCTCCTGGGATTAGCAGTGGGCTGCAGGCTGGGAAATCCATGTGCAAATCAAGAGGGCAGGCTCCTGGGGCTCCTCTCCCGGTTGACTGCGGAAGTAGCCCCCTGGAATTCAGCCCTGAACCCCACCCGCTGTGCGGGGCACAAGCAGACTGGTCAGAGCTGGTCCGCAGCTATGCTCGCTGGCCTTATGTACGATGCGGAAGTGGTGTGAGTCAATCAGTTTCTTAAAGAAATACAGTGATTGAAGCTTTTGTCAGCTATTAAAAATTTACTGTGTCTGTCAGTCCCTGGGAATCCCTATACTATCCCCAGGGAGTGGCAGGGGTGTGTTTCGTAATAACCTTTTCACTTGCGTATTTAATTCCCCAAAGGGCTAACAGCACAGCCTCTGGGTGTCGTGCGCCCCGGGGCCCCGGGAGAGGCCTGGTGGGAAAAAGGGGACACGCGGGGGCAGTAAGTGGGCGGGGCACGTGCGCGCCTGGGGCGGCCCGGGCGTCTGCGGAGCTGCAGGGCCTCGCTGGCCACTGAGACATCCAGTCCCCTGCTGTCCGTCCCCCAGGGACAGGGCCCCGCAGCCTGGACCCTCGGGCCCAAGGGCACTGGCAGCCGGGGCGGTGCTGAGTGTCCGGTGGGCGTTCTCGAGCTGCCGGCGGAGGTCGGGGCTGAGGGCCAAGGAGCAAGGGGGCCCGACCTTGGCCCTTCCCCTCCCCTCGCCTCGGGTCCCAACCTGCGGTGCGACTGAATTCCAAAGGAGAGTGACAATAAAACTACGTGTTGCTGCCTTGCTTGGTTTTAAATTGTCCTTGGAAAGGGCTGGAACCTCGGAGGGAGGGAGGGTCGAGAGAAGGAGGGTGGGACCGGAGCTCCTGACCTCTGAAAAGTTGCACTTAGCCCGAGGGCGCTCTACGTTTTAGGGTTTTTGCTTGGGATCAGGGTATTCTGCCCAGGACCCTGCTTTCCGGCGGGCGGGCTCGGGTCCGTGGTGAGAAGAGGCTGGGCATGGCGGGGGTGGGGCAGTTGTTCAAAGGACGGGCCCCGTCTGGTGCTCTCCTGCTCCGAGCGGCGTGCGTGAGGTGGGGCTGGCAGGGCCTGGGGTCCGCACACGCTGGTGATGCACAGATCAGAGTGTTTCTGAAAGACTCAAGCCCCACGGAGGCACTGAAGCCTCTGAAGCGTCCTGCCCCCTCTCGAGCTGCCCCTCTTGTCTGTCAGTCCACAGGACGTGGGGGTTTTGTAGTGCGTTGGAGGTGTTTCGGGACAACTTTGAGAGCGCTGGAGACTTTTTAAAATCCGGGTTAGCTGTGACAGTGAGTTTGTTTGAAGGAAGGACTCCTTAGCTGGTAGAGTTCAGCTAAAACATTACCCAATCTAAGTTTCAGAAACACCTTTCTCACCGGTGAGGAGCGGCCCCCACGGGGAGTTGCACCAGGTGGCTGAGATTACCTGAGGGGCCAGAGGGGAGGACGTGCCCCTCCTGCGGGGCCGGGCGGGTGTGCCGCAGCCGCAGGCCCCCAGAGCCAGCGAGATCCAGGTGCGGGCGCCGCCTTGCCCTGAGGGTCCTCTGGAACTGCCCCGGCAACTAGCGGGGGTGGGGGCTTCTGCTTGGATTCCCACCCTGCGCTTCCCCGAACCCGTCCGAGCGCCGGCCTGGAACCTCAGGGCCTGGGTCGCAACCTGCACAAAGGCGATGCTGCTGCCTTTGCCTCGTTTGCGGGGCCTCCGCCGAAGGGCGAGGCAGGCGGGCTTCCCCTGCTGCAACTGCCGTCGAGGGGCTGCCCCAGGGCGCCAGCAGGGCAACCCCGGCGCCTAGGGCGGTCGCCCTGCTCGTTCGAGCGTTTCGGGTCGATTGGCCCAGACTCCAACTCCCCCGGCGCCCGCCTGGGGCAGACCCGGCGGCTTGGGATGGAAGGGTGTAGCCCCCCCCCCCTGCCCCGCCCCGGAGGGCAGACGCGAGCGGCCGAGTGCTTTCGAAGGGCCGGACAGGCCCGAGGGCTTTGAAGGCGCTCGGTGGAAGCGCCTCCGGCTAGGGGTCCATGGCCCGCCCGTTGGCTGGAGCGCCCTCCCGGCCACGGAAGGGCGGGGCTGCGACCCCCGGTAGGGGAGCGGGCGGGGAGCAACCGGGCGAAGCTTCCGCCCCTTCCTCGCAAATCGCCCAGCAGACCCTCGGAGGCGAGGGTTTCAGAAAGCGCCTCGGTCCGGACAGGCTCTGGCGCAGGGACGCACGTGGGAGACCCGGAGGGTGGGGGCTCCTGCTCCCGAGGAGCAGGAAGGGCGCTGCAGGGCCAAGCCAGGGGTCAGAGGCCAAGGACTGACCGCCCTCGGGGCAAGTGTCCAGCGCCCAGAGTGGCCCAAGGAGGCAGAAGCTCCCCTCGGAGGTTGGCTGAGTGTGTCGGGACAAGTGGGTACCGGGGAGACGCCGGGCAGCGCCTAGAAAGCCCGCGCGGAGCTGCGCGTCCGCCCGAGCTCTGGCCTTCCCGGGCCGCGGCGTGCCGCCTTTCCCTCCAGCCCGCCGGCAGGTGCGCCCAGGGCGCTCGCGGCCGTGCGTGAGTGCACAGGCGCCTTCGCTGGGCTCGGTGGGCTGGAAGGAAAGGTGCGCTGCGCCTGGCTCCTTTATACTCGGCCGGCCGCTGACGGGAACGAACCCCGCTGCGACCCCAACAGGTGGCGAGCCCATCAGGGGCTCGGAGCCTCGGCCGCACCACTTCCGCCCGCAGCTTTGGCCCTTGGGC